CATTATATGAAAAAAGTTAAGTTCAGCAGCAATATTGAGTATGAATTTGTTGATCAACTCGGAACTAAATTGATTCAAATCAAAAATTAGCATTTCTTTGCGTATTCTTAATTTGTTTATGAGAGATACATTTTGATCAAAAAAGTTTTCAAATATAAGTTCTTATTTTTGCCATTGTACTGTTAACTGCTTGTAAAATAAAATTCCTTTGATGATCTGCTGATAATTACTCAGTTTTGCTTAAAATTTTTTAATCATTGACAAACTTTTGTTACCGATAATTAGCAGAAAGACATTTTGTCAGAAATACGCTAGTTTCATAGAAAATATGACGGTTGTTGCTTGAGTCATTCCAAAAATTAATTAATTAAAATACATAATTTTTAATTTGATTACTTATTATGTCTTTAATGAATATGAAATGGTGTAAATTGGAAAATTATGAATTCTTTAATTTCATGTTTAATTTGATTGGTATTTTTTGCGATAAAAAAAGCTTTTACTAAAAGTTTAGTCAAACTTCCTTGCCAATAATGAACTAAAATTGTTCGAATATATGCTCAAATTCATCAACAGAACTTTTTTTATGTTCACAAGTAAAATTTTTTAGCCATTACTTTCTTATGTAGTACCCTTGTTTCTCTGATTCACTCATACTGGACTTAATTCATTTGAGATAAGTAAGCCTTACTTGTCTTATCTCAAATGAATTAAGAAGCCATCCATTTAGTTTCAATTCTGTTTCAAACTGCTCATTCAACTAAAAATGATTTTTACGTGTTGGCTGCATTTACTTTTAACGGATTGATCTACTGAAAAAAAATTTTACGCCAAATTATTAGAACAAACTTTTTGACAAAGTTTGTGCATTTTTTGTTTTTTAATTAGACAACACTTTTGAATATTTTAAATTTGAATTCAAAGAAGTAAAGTTTATAAAGTTCAACTTAGCTTACTTACAAAAAATGACTTCATTCTTTTTCAACTTGTTCTCGTCTTTCACTTACTTTTTCATTTTAATTTCAGATCAATAAAACTTTGCAATAAATTATTGTAAATAAATTTAGCAGTCCAAAATTTATTACTTATCGAAGATATAGAATAGCAATATTAAGCCCATTAATCAACCTTAGACTGAATTATTAAATCTCGTATCGCATAATAATTAAAAAATATTTGCTATTTTTGAGTTAGTTTAGGAGAAAAAAGATTGTTTTGCGATTGAAATTAAAGAAATGACTAATTTTGTTTTTGCAAAAATATATTTATAAGTAATGGATTTTCATTATGAAGAGTCTATCTATGCTGAGAATTTGACGATCATTAATTCATGTTGCATTAAAATTTATATTTCTCAATGCGCAAAAAAATTTTTCCAGCAACTCTCCTTTGCTTTTATTCGTTCTGAATAAAATTTGAATGCCTGAAAAAATGTTTCACATTACAAATTTCAACTTTTCGCTTCACAAATTTTCAGTTAAAAGATTAATTCTAGTTTGAAAAGTGTCAAATCCCTTAGCAAAAGTAATGCAAACTTCATTTAATCCAACAAAAACTAAAGTACTCTAAATTTAATTCAGAAAACTGCTCTTGCACTTGCTAATCCTTTTTCAAATTTGTCTACAAAATTTAAATTTGGTACTTTTCTATTTGCATATTTGAGAATGGAAAGTTATGCTTGCTCGTCTGTGTTACAAACAATGTTTAATATATTATTTTTATTACTCTACTAATTCATTTATGATATAAAATTTTGCATGCACTTGACATTATTATAATATTAAACTATTTGTAGACTTATTTCTCATAGCAAACATCTCAATTAATATTTGTGATAGAGTGTGCAGATTGAAAATAACTGCTATCTTCCGAGATATATCTTACACCACGTGAACTGACTAGTGCTAGATTACTGCTTGCTTCTAAAATGTCTCAACAGACTTAATCAGTCTAATTATTTGTAAAACAGCATTTCCAACTCAACTTTTGATCACGTAGCAAAGGCCTTTTGCTGCTCACAACAGCTGTTGTCAATTACTTATATCACTGCTATTACAATTACAATTAGCGAAGATAATGGCTATTATCTGTGATAATAAACAGGAAATGCAGCCAAGTAGTAATGAATGCTAACGAAAAGTAAAGGGCGTTCGTTACACAAACGAATTGATGAATAATTATTGAATTTCTTGCGTTATTCACCACTTTACTTTTAATTCTTCCATATCGCTTACTTATTATTTACTTTTAATATACATTGCCAGTACTCTATCACTTTTTTCACGTATAATTTTCACCTTCTCTTAAATAATTCTCACGCAATCACATTCAGTCCTTCAAATTATAGCACTATAATTTAAATTTTGCATATTTATTTTGGCTTTTTCCGGCAATTTTTCACAATTGTCTGCAACCAAGCCAACTATTCTCCCCAATAGTTTAGCTCTTCGATTTCACTTGCATTCATAAAAATGTAAAGCTTGATCAAAAACTGTAATGTTTATTGAAAGTTGTTAACAAATATATACTTATCTGTCAAAGCTTTTTAATTACCAAGCTATTCTTTTACGCTCACTTCTTTTTTACAACTAACCACTGGCTATTTTATTAATATGACCTCTGACCTTTCATTTAAATAATGCATTTGATGTGATCATCACAGAACCACTCACTACTTTATTTGTATTCATCTATTCTAAAACTGTTGATGATATTTTCTGAAATTATTCATTCGTTTACATCATGAATGCTTTGAGTATTTTATATTATTTTGATTTACTGTACTTAGATAATATTCAGAGATTACTGCAAGAGATAGCAGAGAAAATGAAGCTTTCGTTGCAGCATTTATTAATAAATGATTACTTGTATTCATGGCAACGATATTATAACTATCATAATTAAGTATGCTTACAGTAGCACGTCCAACAATTGCTAAATTGAATAACTGCAAAAAAAGTACAGCTCGCAATTATGTAACGCTTCATAGCTTGCAAATTGTCATACTTTTTTCAGAATAAATTTCGCTTTCGAAAATTACAACTACACGAGAAACAGTAAACAGTACAAGAAAATGCTTGCAGCAGTATTCTTATCTCATCTGGATACTTCATTTTACAGTATCACTTAGCTGATTTCTGATAAATAAGAGTGGTAGTACAATTTGCAAGATTCAGATTCAGATGAATCTACAACTGCTTGCAAAAATTCTCTTTGACAGATGAATCTGAATCAGAATCTTCAGTGCACGACAATTTTATATTCAAGAATTTGTTCCCACAACTTTTATTCCTTTCATTACTTCAGTTCAAACTTCTACTTCAGCAGATAATGGCACACTTATATGCCCTTCAAATCCTTTCATCTATACTACTCATTCATACTTCTAGTACTTTATAACCAAACACATACTTGCACTTTTCTACATGAAAACTAATTAATTAATTATTCACCGACAAAATCTCCTAATATAATTTTATATCTCTTGTTCGATCAGTATCGATTAGCCAACGAAATGTTCAATTCATTCAGTGAATACTCAATAAATTGGCCTTACATATCGAGATAGAAATAGAACGCAAGCAAGGCATCGCTTAACTATCATAGTCTCTCCTTCTCTATTTCTCTTTCGCTTGCTAAACTATTTCAATAACTCTCTTTCTCGTCTTCTCCTTTTTATCTATTTACTCTCATTGTTTACTTTTTTAAAAATTGTTTATCTATTACAAAATTTGCAAATCAATAAAAGTGTTTCATATTTTATCATCAAAATGAAATATGTGAGAATGCTTTTGTTTTGTTCCTCATTCATTCGATTTTTAAGAGTGTACACGTAAGTTTTAAGAGTACGTAATTACGAGATAAGTAAAATATATGCTAAGACGATAATTATTTAATTACAGTATTGAATATTCATGTGTGCCTTCCCATAACATTGCTTGCTCAGTTTTGCATCTGCATACATATTATATCCAGAGTTAAGTTCTGCGATATATTGATTTTTAAAATTCTCAATCAAATTCATGAAATGAGATCTTCAGAAGTTAACAGTACGAAATGATACTTTGTAATTAGTTATTTATTTATTATTATTATTATTATTATATATGTTTAGGATTCAAGTATTTATATACTTGTTTCCTTCTTTGTTTATCTAATTACTAAATTTTGTGTGCAATTTTTTTTACATCTATCCATCTCTAAATTAATTAAACAGTTTTTCTGAATTTTTGCAATTTTTTAATATATTTATTTGATTTATGTGTCTGAACCCCATTTTTTGCATTGTTTTGTATAGTGTATAGTTACGTTTTTCTCCATTAATTGATATCATACATAATGTAGCAAATGTTTGTTCAAAATAAATCTAATTTCAGTTGGGTAACATATATGTTGAAAGCTAATGCATATATGAGCATTGCTGAATGCCATGGACAGCATGATGGCAAATGGTGCGGCGAATGCATCTTATACATTCGATGCTCGAAATTTGGAAATTAAGACAAAGTCAGTAGAACAGACATTGGTACCGCTGGTCACGCAGGTTAAACATTTATTACTCTTTTTTTAATTTGCCTTTTTTGTCGTAAATTGTAACCTGATTCCATGACAGTTTAAAAAAAATGGCCTTTACAAGTTTGCTGATTAAATTTTGTAAATTATTCTTGATTGTCTGAATTCAATTCATTGCCGTATACGTTTTCACTAAACTACGTTTAATTATTACGCTTATAATTAGGTTTGGGTAGTAAGCTGTAATTGATTTATTCGTTTATTATATCTCTTACTGTCTAAAGCTGTTAATTTTGCACTTTTGTTACTGTTTTTATTTACAGTTACCGCTGTCACTGTGTCATCAATGATAATAGTACACCAGGAATGACGCACTTAGGATTTTTTTGTTTTCAATAAATTTCTAATTTGATCTAGGAAGTAGCTTCTTTTAGATTACAACACTTGTGAATTTGAAAGAAAACTATTTATCGAGCGGTAAAAAACGCTCGGAGAAAGCTTTTCGCTCAGCTTTGAAGGTGAACATTTTTGAATTTGCCACTGTTTCATAAAATTAAACCCTTTTCTGCCTTCTGAATAAAATCATGAAAATATTTTTTTGACCATCTGAAATGCATTTTATTTAGTCATTTCTAATAAAATCTGAAGTCTTCATAAAATTGACGTTGTAATTGTATATGTTGTTCTTAATGACAAATTCCACTTTTATCTTTCATGCTGTATTAGGTGGGTTCAGCAGTAGAAGCAGCTATCGAACGTTTTGTAGCAGTAGGTGAAACTATTGCAGATGAAAATCCAGATATCCAGCCTGAAATGTACGATGCTTGCCATGAAGCTAGAATAGCTGGTACTGTTTTAAAGAATTTATAATCATAAGAGATGTATATGTATTTTTCTTTTCATGACTTTATTCCGTTGGTCTTTAAATGGGTTGAAGTTTAAAGTTTTCCATCACTAAGAAGAAAAAACTTTGGTTTTTTTAACTTTAATTTTTCATTCTGCTAAATTATATGGAGATTTTATTTCACTGATATGAAATTTTTATTTTTTCAAGGAGCTTCAATAGCAAACTTAAATGGGTGCTTAGCTGATGATTCAAATACTTCTATTGATAAATCCGTTCTTGTCCGGGCTGCACGGCAGCTTCTTACATCAGTTACACGAGTTTTATTGTTGGCTGATAGAGTGCTAGTGAAATATATTCTCAGGTCTGAAGATAAAGTAAGTAATTAGAAAATTTTTTATTGTTTTAGAAAGTTATTTCAGAATCTGCTTTGTGTTCTAAGTTTTCATACAGTTATAATGTTGATTTCAGATCGCTTATTCATTAGTTAAACTAGAAAACACCACAAATTTCACGGATTTCGTGAAAATTTTTACTGAATTTGGTGGAGATATGGTCGATTTAGCTCATCGGTCAGGTGATCGGCAAAGTGACTTAAAAAGTGAAAAACGTCGTGGACAGATGGCAGTAGCACGTACAATGTTGGAACGGTTGACAATGCTGTTGCTTACTTCAAACAAAACTCTTTTAAGGCATCCGGATAGCGACAGTGCTCGTCAGTGTCGGAATGGAGTTTTTCAGCAAGTCCTTATTTAAAAATTTTTTCAATCATTAATTATTTTGAGCATTGACTTTAATATGATGTTTGATTTAAAAGCTCATAAATTAAAATTTTATAGCTTTTAAACATATTTTAAACGATCTTTTTCAGATGCGCCTAGCTTTACAATTGATAGCACTTTGTGTTTCTGATGGTGTACTTCACTTTGATTTATCACATTTTGCATCTCCATCTGGTAAAGAAGTTCTAGATATTGGAATGCAGTTAACTGCTAATGCCGCAATCAGACAGTTGACGGTAATTCCTTCATTTTTGCACAATTAGGACTGAAATATTTGTTACAAAACCGAAATTTTCTAACGGTGCTGCCTCATTATTACTCGTTTTATGACCATTTAAGTTGCAGCAGGTTCTCTCAAATGTTTTGTCCCTTTATAGGAAATGCTGGAGATGGTACGGATGACGTGCAACGTTGGAACAGGTACAAGAGAACGGTTAATAAGCGCATTAGATTCATTGTGTGAGATGACTCAAGATTTCACTGACTCAGCTTATACTGCCCATCATCATCGTGAACAAATTCTTGATCTTTTAGAAGAATGTCGATTTGAAATGACTAATCTTATACAACGTGATGTATGTGTTTTTTTAATTATTTTGTACTCGTTATTTAAAAATAAAAATAAAAATAACGACTATAAGGTGTAATAAGTTTCTTTTAGTATGCGAAAATTTTCTGTCGAAGATTAGTGATTTGAATATCGAGTAGTGAATATTGTAGTTTTGAATGCTTAAATATAAATAATGTATGAAAGATGTAAAGTCATTTAAAGTGGTTATATCTATAAATGCTAACTTCATACTTCGACCTTGAATTCATTGCTAGTATGTGCGATACAAATGAATTATTTTAGGTCACTGATGAGCCTTTAAGAAATGAAACTATAAAGGTTGTCGTAGAAAGGCTTGGTAGGAGGTTGAAGGATCTCAGGAAACAACTTCAAATTGTGGCTATGGAACAAGTAAATTTTTTTGCCTCCATTTCTTTGTGATCAGATCTCTGCCGTGAGTTCATGTTTTTTTTACAGATCTCAGAAGTATTGCGTACTAATGAAGATCAGCTCATTCTTTCAAGTATTAAAGCGTGTTCTGTTTCGGGTGATATCGATAATGTTGAAAAATTTCTTGAAAAATTCCGTGAACATGCAGAGCATATACAAGAAGTAAATTTCAGACAAATCTTGTTTGTTTCAGTTTACAGAAACAGCCCACTTTGAATTTTTAGAAGACTTACGTTCATTTTGCATATTTTTTTAGTCTATCATTTTGATGCCTTTCTATATTTTTGGAAAAGGAATTTTAAATTTTGCTTAATATATTAAAAATGTAGGTTTGTCGGCTGCTTCATCATATCTCTTTAACGGATGGTTTACATGTTGCTACTGGTCATACAGAAAGAAATCTTCGATCTCTTGCTCCATTGGTAAAGCATTGTTGTCATATATTTGTGTTTCTTTTTTGTCTGTATATAAGTTTGAGAAACTTTATAGTGCTATACTTTAAAGTGTGCATTAATTGAAGACGTTACTGGCTGGTCGTACATTGTGCATACATCCTTCCTCACGTATAGCACGGGAGAACGTGGAAGTTTTTTGTGACACCTGGGCACAATGTGTCAATGATTTGTCCAGATTAGCGAAAGAAACAGATGCTGCAGCAAGTGGTCGATTAGTAGCAGAAAAACAAGCCTACATGTCGCTTCCTAGGCCAGGGGTAAGTTGGTCGGAAACAGCAAGTGGGGGAAATGATCGTGCTTCATCTCCTTTGTCCCGTCTGTCTTCACCAATTTCCAGTCGATCTGTAGATTTTTACTTTCTAAAATGCATCTCTCCACACCATTCATATTCCGAAGATCAGTTCAGTCTTGGTAACTCGGCTTTTACAAAATTGAGAAACTCTACAGATCGTGTAGAGCAATACCAGCTTCTTGCAGAAGATACTAGTTCATCGTCAAGTGCGTCAGCACCAAGTGCAAGTAAATCGCTTGGAGCAAGTACCTTTTTCCAGTATAGACTAAGCACTATTCTAGATGATTTGCAGGTAGAAGTAAATAAAATGCATACCCTAGAAAGATCACCACCTCCCCTCCCAAAACATCAAACTAAATAAAAAATCAAAAAACTTTTTGATATTTATTGTGAATGTAGTACTCAGTTTGGTTTGCATTGTTTGAGTAATGCGTCGCTCATTTAATTTTTTGTTCTGCATGTATGTTTTGGTTGTGGACTGCTTAGTATTGAATAATGGTATAATTCAAAAGACATTCATGGATTTCTGTGTTTGTTGAATTCAATAATTCATTTCAAACGTTTGGCTAAATTTATTTATTATTATGTCGATTTAATATTCCACTTATGGCAAATTGTTTTTCTTTGCGGTTAATCGCTTAATTGCAATGGGTATTTTTTATGATTTTTGTAAAATAATTTGCATGCACTTCAGTTTCAATGTATTACAAATTTTAACCTGTTTGTACTGGTTTTTCATATTTTAAAGTTTTATGAATTATAGCATCTCGACATTCAACAATTAGCAATCTTGCATGCAGTAATTATGTCATATGAAGTGACTAATGTCAGAAATTAAAAAAGAATTGTTTGTTTGATGAAAGGTTCGAATGTTTATCTCATCGTCGAGGAGCATCCAGTTCAATTACTTATGCATTCATTAGTGTTGATTTCGTTATATTCAGTTTGCTGTATTATCTTATGTAACTGAATATGTAATTAGTTCATGATTGGAAAGCATTATTTTGCTTCCCAAAACATTCTAATTATGAAGATCTTATTGCTGATAAATTGAACAAGCAAGCACAAGAAATCATATGTTACGGTCAAATCGTGATAACAGTGGAAAATTTTGCTAGCGTGGATAATTTTGATGTATGTAACAGTTGATTCAAGTGTTCAAGAGCAAGAGAACAAAGCAGTACAACTTCTGAAGTTCACTGCTCAGTCATACAAAACGTAATATGTATTTGAGAACTAATAAAAATCGGTGTAAAAAGTTACTTTGATTTATTGTCCCTTGTAAAGGAGCAGTAGAGTTAAAGAGGTAGCGTTCGTTTCATTGAGGAAATTTTAGTTTGAGTTCACGGATTTAGTATTCAGTAAATTTATGGCTCAATTTCAGAAGCATGGTACTACACAGAAACCGACGAAACCAATAACGCTTGATGTTGAGGTTAGTCATCCACATGTTCAATTGTTTTGGTTAGTTATTTTTCTGAATTAGTGAGTGCTGTATTTTTACCCATTTTGAAGGTCGCTTTTAGCAAAAAGTATTATTTTTAAAAGTTGATTTTCATGCTTGAGCAGTAGGATGGGATGATAACACTGTTAAGGACGGATTTAAAAACTCAACTTTTAAAATTTGCATTAATATCAAAAATAATGCTGTTTCAGGATCAGCAGAAAATAGCAAAAGTTGGCTTAGAAATGAAGCTGTTAACATCAGAAGTAGATGCAGAAGCAGAGAAGTGGGATGAGTATGCGGAAAATGATATAGTGAAGCGTGCTAAAGCAATGTCTTCTATGGCCTATAATATGTATCTTTTTACTAGAGGTGATGGACCACTGAAAACAACTCATGATCTTTTTACACAGGCGGAATTCTTCGCTGAACAAGCAAATAAAATGTATAAAACTGTTCGAGAATTTTCATATGAGGTAATGTATTCAGTGCTTGATGTAAAATTGATTTAAACAAATATTAAGCAAAACTTTTCTGCATGTATTTATTGATTTCCAGGTACCTGGAAGTGCAGCAAAAAACGATTTGTCATCGATTTTAGAGAAGATACCTATGCACTGTCAGCAGTTACAAGTACTTGTGAAAAGTCCAACTGTGGGCAAGCCAGCAACATTTTCAAAAGTGAGTGTTTTCCATCCCAATTATTAATTTGCTCAATTAGTGCAAGTTTGTAACTTTTGAAGAATAGATTAAATTTATTCATTAAGTTTAAAAATATCTTATTAAGGTATTCTTTGTGTTTATTGCATGCCTCCAGCTTTTAAATAAAATGTGTCTGCAAGTTGAAGTTATCTCAAAACAATTGAGTTGACCATCACTTAAATTGTTTGTTTTCTAGTCCTCTTGATTTTGACGTTTCATCAACATTTTTGTCTCCTGAATTTGATCAAAAATCTCAGAAATGTATATTGCCACATCTAACTGTAACTTATGTTACAGATGCAAGACTACGTCCTGTTTGGACTAAATTTCGTAGAAATTCGATTTATACAAATGTTCTTTAGGTTGATTCTGTGATACAGGAAACAAAGAATCTGATGAATGAAATCGCAAAATTAGTCACCTCTTGCTTTGTTTGTGCAACAAAGGTTAGTAGTAAAAATTACAAAATTGGAAACTTTCAGTTAAAAATGTTTTTCTTTTTTCATGTATCATTCCTTTCTATTCAGAAAAGTTGATCTGTTTCAGTTTGAAATTGAATTCCGTGGCTCATCGACACCACGTCAAGTACTTGCTGATAGTGAATATACGCAACGGAGCAGTAGAGAATCTACTTTGTGGCGACGAACTCCATCAGTACGACGCAACGCCCAGACACCTATTGCTCAGGTTTGTTTCTGATAAAATAAATTCAACACACTTTTTCTGACTTCCCATCGTTAACTAAAGTGTAATGAAATGAATTAATGGTCACATTGTTGGTGTCATGTCATTTTATGTTTTGATTTTATGCAGCTTACGTACGAATTTTCAAAAAAAGCTGAAGAACATGACAATTTTGCTTACAAAATATCGCATAAGTATAATATTTTAGCAATACTTTTTTTTTTAAATATGAGTACCAACATTTTATTAATTGATATTTTATCTTGTGTAGAATTTTTTTCAGTGATCAAATTAACGACTTTTTTGTGGTATATCAATCCAAAATCATCAACTGAACTTGAAATTTCTCTTGATTTATCTGGCACCGGAATAAAGTTTATTTATTAGAGATGTTCAGCAGCATCATTTGATTGTAAATTTCCATGTAGAAGTTTTTTCAGTAATTGAAATGTGAAAAAATTGTTAGCTTTACTGCGTAAAATTATTCGGTTAAATTCAAAACATATAAGCATGGAAATTTAAGAAATACAGCACATTCAAGTAGTGCCAGTTAATGCATTAGTAACGGCAAGTAAAATATATCATTTATCATCGATGGCAATTATTTACCAAGGTTTTGATTGATTTGCTACTGAATGATGTAAATCATGTTTATTGGCAAAAACTTTATCACATCAGTCTGAATTGTGAATTGTTCATAAATCGTTATCATGTGGAACGAAATGAAAAAAGTTTAGTTTTAATCTTATTGACAAATGAAAATTTTTAATTTATTGGAATGTCTATGAATCGAATGGAAGTAAAGGAACTATAAATTGTGATTTCTTTTTCCACATCGTAAATTGAATTTTGCAACAATTGTCATCGCAATATATATTCATTAACATTTATTTTACTACAACAAGTACTGCGACTTTCGCAGTGAATTAACTACTGCAATCTTTGAAATAATTTGAATTGACCAAGAGATCTCAGTAGCAAACAGGTGACAAAAAAGATGGAAATGAAAATTTGTGTGGTGTGTTAAAATTTCAGAGAGTGGAATGTTTACTTTTCAGTGAGTGCTTTTGCTAAAGTCGGTCATGAAAACATAGATTTTATTCATAACCAAAGTAAAGAGTTGAATGTACATTCAATGATTGTGAGATTTAGCAACCTTTTTTGAACTTAGTTAAAATTTATAACAAAAATAGTTATAGAAGCGATTAATGGTTTTAAATGAGCGATTCAGTGAGGTAAAAATTGGCACATTGTGTACGGACAAGTAATTTTGGCTAGAACTAATTATTTATGTGTTAATATGGACTGTACGCTTTTTACTTCAAATCTTTGATCACAAAAAGTTTGCAAGAGTGAGCAGTGCTACGTAAATTGAATTGTATAATTTGATGTGATCCGTTGTTAATTATGACTCTTCATAGCAGAAATGTCAACTCTTCGATGAAAATAATAATTGTGTATTCTCGTTCTTGTCATTTGAATATCAAGAAAAAAAGTTATAATATTTTACGATTGTCAGACAGAATTGTTAATATTTAGTCTTTTTTCAACCAATTCTGCTATGAATACATGCGTAAATACATTACATTTGATATTGCTTAGGAAGATGAAATGTATTGCTATAAATTAAATTTATATATTCAAATTATACAAAATTTTTGAAAAACGTAAACGCGGCAGCAATTTATTTAGTTTTATGCATATTAAAAAGAATGACATATTTTACTTTCAGTTACTTTACCTTTAACCTTACAATTACTGCTTGATATGATTATGCTATTAGTAAGCAAAATATCAATGAGAATACAATCTGAACAGTTGAACAGTTAATCAAAAGCAAAATAATCAAGTTTTTAGTCGTTAATCTCATATTGTATAAAAAACAAACATATATTTCAACAAAGTGATTCTTTCTTCATATATTTGTGTTTTAATTGACTGATCCATGGAAACTTGCCATTATTCACGAGCTAAATAATTCAAAGATGTTAAGTTTCAAGCGTAATTATACTAAAAATTATGTTTAGAAAGAACTTTATATGTCTAACTGCAAATATTTGGTAAGAATTCTACTTTCTATCATATCAAGCTTCGGAAATTCTCCATATTTACATAAACAAGTCTGAACTAGAAATTTTATTATTATTAAATTATTGAACTGTTATATGAAAACTTCTTCATCTCTTAATCTGATAAAACTTATTAATTTTTCATGATATTAGTATTCAAATCTTATTCCTGGAAACTGTTTGTATATTAAAATACTATTTGTTGGCATTATATCAGAAGCAGATTCAGGAGAATTCAGATGCATCAACTAATTTCATACACTATAGAGCAAAAATTATGGAAACTTTGTATCACTTCGCGTAAGTTTGTTTAAGCATGAATGATGCACAATCTTTTATAAATTTTGATATAAATGCCTTACATGCTAATCGTTTGTGGTGTCAGACAAATTAAATTAAAAAGAGTCAACGACATATTTGTATTTATACAAGTATTTTTCATAAAATAGTGCAAAGATCGCATAAATTTTGCAAGCATAAAGTTTGAAGAAAAAAAATTTGTATAACATGGCACCAGATTAATCTTTATAAGTATCAAAACATTTGAAGCAATTCAGACTGATTCAGTCTGAATTCAATCTGAATTCCGTCTAAATTCAGTCTGAAGTTGATTCATTATTAAACTACGTAGACACTGCTATGATTTGTACTGCTTAGCTAATTAAAATACAATAAGCTTATTTCAGTTCTATTTTAATGCGTATCACTTCTATAATACTTTTACTTATGTATGCATGAGTTTTGAATTTATCTCCCATAACGCATATTTGTTTTAGTTTTCTGTCTTTTTTTCATAAAAAGATGTCAAATAAAATATGATTTTGTCAATTTTGTCATATTATCTATGCAAAAAAGAATTAAAACAATTTTATCGCAGAAAATTTTCTAATTAAAAAAGATTAATTTTTTATTCATTTTATGCAGTTACATTTTGTCATATTATATGTGCAAAAAAATTAGTCAATTGCGTAAAATGAATAAGAAAATTTTCAAATCAGAATTGCTTCCTTTTGAAGGTATGAAAATGATTAATAGTACCTTGAGGTCATTTCAAACAATTCCTTAATAATACTTAGTAAAATCATTCTCCTTTGTAATCTAAAGCTTACTTTTGTGCTGTGTGATCCATGAATTAAGTCATATCTCAATCTTAAGCCTCGACGATCAGAAGATATATTCATTCGTTTTATGAATTTTTTAGCTAATTTTTTTTAACTCAGTTGATAATTTTGCTTTTAACTTTAAACAGGCAAGTAAATCTTTTTTAAAAGTTTAATTGTTTTATTGAAATTTCAGCAAATAATTTTTCAAAGTAAAATTAAATTGCATTACACGCAGTACAAAATCATTTGTTTTTGCATTACGTAAAATAGTTGTGCTGAGTTTGTTGACATCAAATGTTGATATGTTTTCTGTTATTTCATAGATAAAATCAAGATCAAATTGTATGGTAAAAATATGAAAACTTTATAGTTTTATTAGAAAAGTGAAAAGTCTAACATTATATTTGGAAAGTTTACATTATTCAAATTTTAGTATTCACAAAATGCTACATTCAATGACTAACTTTTTGCGCTGCTTTTTAAATGCATTTAACTATCATGAAATTGTATCAGCATAATATCTATTTGCTTCTTTTAGCTTTAAATATAACAAATATAGTTATATTATATTTATACATTATTATCATGCAATAAGTTCAATTATATAATTTAATATTCAAATACAAGCAAATTTATATTTGAATTAAGTGCAAAACTTTCTTCAGTTTCATAGCACACGTTTTTATTAACATATAGAAAAGTTTTAATATTTTTCTGGTCAATTTTAATTTTTATTTATAAATGAGTCACTAAAATTAGCATATTTGACTGGAAAATTTATCGTAATGCAACATTTATCACATATGAGTGAATGAATGAATTAATATGCCTGCCATGTCAGATCAAATAGAAACAGTTTAGATCAGATAGAAAACAGTTCAGATTAGATAGAAAAGAGTTCAGATCAGATGAAAAAGGATTCAGAAAGAAAGTCTTTTCGAGAACTCGCAAAAGAAGAAAGATTCTCCGTTTTGAAGAGGCGAACTAACTTTTCCCTTCCTTTCTCAATCAATCGTGTGACACTTCAATTGCATGTGATCCTAAAATTAACAATTAAAATGATGTTTTGTATTGATTGAGTTTATTTGTCTTACAGTTCAATGTGTTTTAGAATAAGTTCGCCCTACTTTCGTCTGCTTCTTCCTTGCAGACACTTACGTGTACGTAAACCTTGACGTGATGTCTTTTTTTTGCCAACCCTACAAGTTTTTGCCGTCTTTATATATATTTAAATTTATTTCGCCTTGCACATTTTAAGAAATCTTTAATGCCGGCAATAAATTAAAGATATATTTTCAGTTACACATTACTTATTCAATTATTCTGCATCGATAATGAAAAAGTGTTTCATAAAATTTGAATATGTTAAATATTTACTGATAATTGATCAGCTGAATATAATTTCAAATGAAATACAATAATTTTAGCTCAAAGTTTATTTATTTTTTCAATAAAACTAGTTTTACACATTTTTAATTTCAAATTTTGATTTTTTGAAAATCATTTCTTCTGAAATTGAATTCAAATTCAAACTGAGAACAAATGAAATGAGAAAGGATGAACTTTATTATTCATTAAAAAGTTGCTATTTTCATTAACTGAATCATTTTTTCCTCAAATAAAAATTAATTAATTAAAATAATTCCATTTGCTTACGGAAAAATAAAGTCTATTTTTCAATAATTGTGTGCTTTATTATAAATTTTAAACATCTCTAAATACTTGTACTATATTTTCAGTTATGAATTACTCATTCCATTATTTATTATTTCTAATTTTTTTGACATCATCAAAATTTATATCTTGTGAAGAGCCAACGGGTGATAATGTATGTACAGTAGCAGTAGAGTAAGTCAATTTATCTGTTTATTCCTTTAATCATTTTGCATATTTATCTATGTCAATTTTTCTTTCATAAATATATTCCACACTTAGCTATTCATAACCATTCATATTATTGATATTAAACATATGAATTAACTTACAAAGTTGTTGACAGTTAAGTAAAGATTATAAAATAGTTACTTATATTTTTCATTGTTTCATAATTTGAATTTCAACTTTGAATGATTATTATCTAGACAAAACAGTAGAAAAATTAAAAAGCTCACAAAAATATTGAATAAAAATTTTGTGACTTATTTTAATGGAACGGTAAAAAACAATGTTATTAATAAAGTAATTAATAATAGAAAAATAATATGATATATTCAGAAAAAATTTGTGTTGGATTTTAAAAATTGAAATGGAAAAATAGTTTAGTTTCGAAATCAGTCACCTGTTAGTCCTTTAATTAGCATTAAGGATAATTAGATTTTGTATAAAAGTTGAGATTAAAAACTTCAATTTTCATTTTACACTTTTAATAACTTGGAGTTATTACGGACTAATTAGGAAACTTTAATATTGTTACACGCAAGAAATTTATTTATAAATATGTTCGAACTTACAAAAATGACAGAATGTAAATAAATTTTTATATTAAATTTTTCAAAGCACAAACATTGATGAATAAGTCATTCTTCAGATTGCTTCATTTGATCATTACTTTGAACAATTTTAATAATTTTCATAGGAAAGAAGAACTTCAACTAGAACGCCATGTTCAACAAGTACCATACAGAACGACTGTTTGGTGCGCAGATCCAAGCAATGGTTTCAAATGTCCTGAAACTAAGCAAGAATTTTTTTTTAACTATTCAAGTTTCATTCATGAATTCTTTTTTGTTCGTATAGCTTCACTGTTGATAAAAGTCATTAAAACTTCACTAAATTAATAACTTTTGTTCATAAAATTAATTTCCGTTCGAATAATTTAAAAAGTTTACTAAGTAAAAGTTAAGTAAACGACATCACTTTTTGCAGTATTCTATACTTCTGACGCTTTGTAGAGAAAGTTAAAAAAGTCAAAATAACTCTTGCATTTATTAGATATGGCGAAAAAATATCATATCGAAGTGTACCAAAAATTGTTACAAAATATGTGAAGCAATGTTGTGAAGGATATCAGCAGATTTCTAATAACACTTGCATTCGTAAATTTTTCATCATATTTTTGTGCTTACGTAATGCGTGAAAATTACTGTACTTAGTGATTAATTGAATGCTAACAAAGTGAAAAAATAAACTGCTATTATTGAAGTGAAAAAAAAACATTATAAAAAGAAGCAATAAATATTTTTTGTAAAAATATATATATATATTTCAATTTTATGAAATTATTTATTTTAATGGCATTAACAATTCAAATTAAATTTTGTTTTAACATCAGTAAATTTGTTGGAATAATTTTTTGTATTTTCGTCTCCAAAAAAAGTGAATAAAGTATAACTTGATATTCGTTGCGTCAATTCAAAAGCAAACCTTATTTAACTGTAATCAAAACTTAACTTACCTCACTAATTATGTAAAAAATTATCTCATTATTTTGAAAAGATATTGGAATAAACACTGAAAAGTATTATGATTTATTTGGTTTGATTTTGAATAAGTGCTGAATTGAGATGGAGGAAAATATCAGTGAATTTCAGTTTCTTAAACGAAATATTGAAATATTTAAACTAAATATTGACAATGGAAATAAAAAAATTTTTGAAAGTAAATAACTGAGCGATAATTATGGTAAATCTTTTTAGCTCTATGTGATCCACCTTGCTGGCGTGGTGTTTGCACTGCACCAAACAATTGCACCTGTGATGCTGGTTATGGAGGTTCATCTTGTTCTGAAGGTTTGCTGTTGTGTCATTTACTTTATTTAAAGTTTTTATGCACCTGAAAAATCTTAGAGTTCAAAAAAATCTAAGACTAATTTGAAAATTTTCAAAAAATGTTGATGGCTTTGACAACTTAAGCAAATTTTTCAATAATATAAGCAGATAATAAAATTTAACAATAAATTTTCTTAGATTGTCCACCGTTCTACTGGGGTCCAAATTGTAAAATTCCATGTGATTGTAGTCATGGAGCTTATTGCGATCCCGTTACGGGCATTTGTCATTGCCTTGCTGGTAATTTTTTTTCTTCACGCAAACATGGATATTTAATTTGTAGTTTTAGAAATCGCAAATTAAAATGAAAACCTTTGAAAATATTTCGCACAAAAAATACAAACAAAATGCAAATAATTTCTAATGAAAATGGCAAAATTTTTGCCTAATGCCATTTAACGACAATTACTTTTGTTCGATTTTGATTGAACCTTGCAGGTTATACTGGAAAGCATTGTAGAATTCCTTGCGATAGCGAGCATTGGGGTCCAAGTTGCGCATATCGTTGCTTATGCCAGAATGGTGGTGCTTGCAATCCGGTTGATGGTTCATGCAAGTGCCTTCCGGGATATACCGGTCCACTCTGCCTTGAAAAATGTGAACAAGTATCCGTTTGGTTTTGTCTTAAGCTTTTAAAAAGTTGAAAAGTATGTTATTTTTTAAGAATTTTAGTGCTGCATTGAGATACGTTTTATAGGGTAAGCATGGACCTAACTGTATTTACGACTGCAAATGTCAAAATGGTGCACATTGCAATGAAAAGGATGGCAGCTGTTTGTGCCTTGCCGGATTTTCGGTAAGTATTCGAAGTTTCGTGATCGTCCTTTGAATCAATAATCCTAGATCAAGGTTCAAGTACAGCTCAAATCTGAAATATCAAAGACTACTCTGCTGTTTGATTTGATTTGATCTAATGTCGTGTACAAATAATAGAATTTGATTTTCACTCTTTTCTATTTTTTGATTAAATTTTGTCCGAAACATTTATTTCTTGCATAACTTTACAACACATGTGTAACTACCACTGAAAATCGTAGTTAATACTGAACTCTAAAAAATTTTTATGTAAATGAAGTATTGTTTATTAAATTAATAATTATTACTGATGTCAAGGGTCGATTTTGTGAAAATAGATGCGAGAAAGGATTTTATGGCATAGACTGTAGTGGTAAATGTGGATGTTACAACGAAAACGAATGTGATCCAATAACTGGAGAATGTCTGTGTGTTGGATTTACTGGAAAATACTGTGAGGAGCAATGTCCACGGAACATGTATGGAAGCAACGTAAGTTTGTCATATTTTTGACGAATTAGATTTTATGAATTAATTTGTTGCTGGAAATTATTGTATACGTGCTCACAAGACGCATATATTTTCATTCATGACTTAGAAATTAAAAATTTATTATGCGTATTTGACATTTAAATATTCCTTCTTAACGTCTATCTTTTACTTTCTTTGAGTTCCATTCCATTAACTTTAAATAAGTAATACTTTTTAAGAAAAAAAGACTGGTTAGTTGTTTTGAGTTTTTTGATTTTGAACACTAATTTTTGGTTTGTCTTGGTCACATAAATTATTTTTAATATTAATATCAATTAATTTTATATGTAATTTTATTAAATTTTACAGATTTTTAAAATTTTTATATGTTAGTGCAGCCAGAAATGTAATTGTGTACATGAAGCACATTGCCATCCAATCACAGGAAGTTGCATCTGTCCGCAAGGATTTCATGGGAAACATTGTGACCAAAAAAGTTAGTGCAGACATGTTAGTATGCATAGTTTTTTTCCCAAATTTTTTTTGAGGTTACAATTATTTTCACTTTTTAAAAATTATTTTAAACTGAATTGCACAGTTGTTTTGAATTTGAAAAAATTAAAGAATTATAAGTTTTAAAATTTTCAGCCACACTTACAAATATTGTTTTTAGTCTAAAATCTTTTCATAATAGATAAAAAAATTACAGTTTGTCCCTTTGATCGGTTTGGAGTGAAATGCGAAAACGAATGCGTTTGTAATTCAAACAACACAAAACTGTTAGTTTTGCATGACAATAAATCAAATTTTGATTACTTATTTAAAAAATTACAAACACTTCTTGCTTGCGAATTTTAAAAATTTATAACATTTCATTTATATTTTTATTTTTTGGTACATTTTAGAATAATTGTTTCAGATGTCATCCTATCACAGGTACTTGCAGTTGTAAAGCAGGTTATACAGGTGCAGCTTGTAATTCGCTTTGCCCAATATTCTACTACGGAGAAAATTGTGATAAAAAGTGTGATTGCAATTTGAATACAGGTTCACAGTGTGATCCATTCAATGGAAAATGTATATGCGCAGCCGGATATCATGGCATTCAGTAAAAATCTTTATTTCAAATAATATTTAAAGAAATCTTCTAAACAACCAATAATTTCATTTTAAACTTTTTAACAATAAATGCATATGTTTAAAAATATCTTATAAAAGCTATTCAATTTTTGTGGTTGAAAAGTTGTGTTTTAGATGTAATGAAAAATGTACGGAAGGAACATTCGGTGTTGAATGTAAAAGTTATTGTGATTGTAGAAATGGTGCATCATGTGACCATCGTTTTGGTATATGCAATTGTACAGCAGGTAAAATTATTACCAACAGTTATCTAAATAGTACTTTTATGAAATCAAGAATGAATCAAATTACTGAGTAATTAAGGTTGGCGTGGGCCACAGTGCAGTTTACGTTGTTGGGGTGGTCATGCTGGAGTAGGCTGTAAAACTTGCAATTGTACGAATGGTGCAGGTTGTAATCCGGTTACTGGTGAATGCATTTGTCCAGCAGGATGGCATGGCCCAAATTGTGAACTACCATGTAGTAAAGTTAGATTATCTATGCTATTATCTTAATAATTTATACTTTATGCTATATTAAGTAACTAGACATGGTGAATTTTCCATACTTGATTTCTATTTGTCAAGATTTCTTAACTGTGCAATTTTCAATTCTTAACTCCCAGAATATTTTGGTGATTCATTAACTGTACTAGAATAGCATTTATGATAATGTTAATGCTGTTATGCCACACAATACTAAATTACTTCATTAAAGTCGTATTATTTTGCATAATTTAGATTTATACACGAAATATATGCAAAAGTTTATTCATTCTTTTGTGGTCTTAGAATCGATATGGACTTTTGTGTTCGCAGGAATGTCAGTGCAAAAATGGTGCTGCATGTGATTCAGTTACTGGGGAATGTAGTTGTGAAGATGGATGGGCTGGTCAGCTTTTATATTCTACTCTTAAATAATTTTACTTTCTAATTTCAAAAATGTATTCATTTTGTAGCTTTAAAAAGGTGTCTGTCCATTTATGCTTTATACCTATTAACATGATATATAGTTTAAGATAGAAAAAGCATAAATGTGAACATGTCTGAAATTACTAGCAACTTTGCAGTTTTTTTCAGGACTAGACTGCTCAGTACCCTGTCCATCAGGAGACCAGATGGCTTGTACTAATGAATGCCCGTGTATTCATGGAATTTGCGTAAATGGTTCAACAACCTGTACATGTCGTCCAGGATACACTGGTCTACTTTGTGCTGAAGGTAATATTTACTGGCAGTTGTATGATTAATTACTGATAAACAAGTATTTACCCTTAAATCTAGTCACATTATTACTTAAATAAGTCTTAGCAACTGCAATAGTCATTTTTAGTAGAGTTGAAATTTGTAGTGAAGTTTTTTACTTTTGTTAAATTGAGCAGAAAAAAAAGAATGATTATTACAACATAAAAGTTATTAATTGCTGTTTGAAAGTTTCACCACTAGCACTTACGTATGGCATCATAAATTTTTGATCAAATTTGACATGTTTTTACATTTCAAATAGAATCAATCTTCAGAATGTCCTTTCGGCACTTATGGCGAGAAATGTTCTGGCAAATGCAAATGTGAGCTAGGATGTGATCCACGTACTGGCGTGTGCTTGCAATGTCCTGCTGGATGGAGTGGTGCAAGCTGTGAACAGAGTTGTCTACCTGAAATGTGGGGTGCACAGTGCTCAACTCACTGCGCGTGTACTGCACATGCGGAATGTGATAACATTGATGGCACTTGTCATTGCTATAATGGATATACTGGCAAACATTGCGAAAATGGTATTATTTAAATTTTCATGAAAAATTTTGGGAGTGAAATTCAAATTTTTTTTGGAGGGAAAATAATTTTAGAAAGATTCAAATTGAATTCAAATAAGTAATGAGATGAGTTGGATAAGTAATGAAAAGTTTTTTTTTCACGATAAAAAATAGTTGGAGTGAATGTTTTAAGAATGCAGAATGCGATAAAATTGAAAATGATTCATCGTGTGAAAATTGATGACGTATCAAAATTATAAATGAAGATAAACACGTTAGGAATGAATTATAGAATGCCCGATTGGCCGTTGGGGCATAAATTGCTCACAGAAATGTAATACATGCAAGAATAATGGTAAATGTAGTCCGATAGATGGAGAATGTCGCTGTGAACCAGGTTTTATGGGAGAAAACTGCGAATTCAGCAAGTTCCTTTACTTCAATAACTTTCAAAAATTTATTTTAGTAGCCTTCTGGAGTCGGTAGCAGTGTTGTACCTCATGACGATATAATAATGCTATGGAATACTGTACTGATTAGTTGTGATAAGAGCATGAGTTGGTTTTTGCAATGGAACGCTCTCGCAAATAATCGCTTAATCAATTAAGCATATCATTGCATAGGAAGTCAAGTTGATATTACCTCAGAAGTAAATAAAATTTCTCGATTTTCCGATCAATTTGAAATTTCACGCTTTGCAGCATGTGGTGAAGGTCAATGGGGTCCTGATTGTATGAACGAATGCAAATGTGCAAGTGATCGTAAAATATGCAATTCAATTAGCGGTATTTGCCACTGTGCTGCTGGTAATATTCTAGAGTTTCTGCCCTTCTATATTAAGCATTAATCAGTATAATAAAGGAAAAACCCTCGGAAGTTCTGTAGTCTAATCAATAATCTAAAAGATTAATAGAGATATAAACAATTTTTATAGGGTTGAAAGGAGATTTGTGTAATGAGTACTGTCCAGACGGTTTTTGGGGTCCAGACTGTGCTTTCAAATGTTCCTGCGAAATGAAAAATTCTAAATGCCAAGCAATAACTGGCAAATGTGTATGTAAAGCTGGTTTTACGGGATTACTTTGTGATAAAAGTAATAATTTCATATTTTTCACCTCACTTTTTTGTAGTCAAAGAAGCATTTTGCAGTTTCAAATAATTGATTTAATTATATGATAAATTTTATGCAGTTTTCTGAAATTAATTAAAGAACTGAATTGCTTTCAGAGTGTCGTAAAGGTTTTTGGGGTGACGATTGTGCGAATATCTGTAATTGCGACAAGAAATTTTGTGACCCTGTAATTGGCTGCTGTGATGAGAACGATTATCGATGTCGTTCTCTAAGTATACACTGCATTTTTGCATTTTCTTTTAACGCAGATATCTCAAGATCAAGAAATAACGCCAATCTTAATATTAATACTTTATCACTTAATCCATCCATTCTTTCTCGTTAACTTAATTTTTCCCTTTTTTGACTTTTTGGTAAGTGAAATGCAAATGTTATAGTTTTGTGGAGATATAATTTGTTACTAAAATAAGTCTAAAAATTATTCAAACTGTTCTTTTTTATTTTACGAAGAGCTTTGTTTAGTAAATTATCAAAGATTATTTTTGTTTACTTTTTTATTTATTTAATTTTTGGTGACCTTTTTTATTTATTTACTAAACAAAAAGATGTATGTCTCTGCATTATAAAAAATCAAAGTTTACTAAAGACTGACAACTTAATCTTTACATATATGTGCTTTACATTTTTAGCTCACGCAAATGCAAGACATAAAAAATATAAGCGTGGATTTCCATTATGGAGTATATTTATTATATTCGGCGTTGCCTTCATCGCGGTTATTGCATACTATCGTCACAAATACCAAAAAGAACGTGATCCTAACATTCCTACGATCACGTCAGTTTGCTATATTTTTATTGGCAGCCAGTCAGATAATCTTAACTTATAAAAATTATTAAGGTAAATCAGAAATAGAAGAACAAACTATGTATGCTTAAAGATGTTGTATTTGGTTAAAATTAGAGGCGGATTTCTATCCCAGTTTTGTGAAACATCTAATTATCTAATTCTTTATCAAATAAATTATTAAATTTGTGAAATATAAAAATAAAAAATAATAGCCACAGCAATGTTGCATTGCTATGGCGATTATTTTTTTCGCATTATTTGGATTTTAATAAAATTATTTAGAACGTATTTTCGTATGCCTGAATTTATAAAAAAAAAGATTGAATTTTTGCATATTATTTAAGATAAAAAAATTATGCTATCTAATTTTCGTTAATTTATAGATACTATCCAGAAACTAGCAATGGGCCCAGTTCTGCAACAACTAAATTCGATAATCCACTCTATCGAGCAGCAACAATAAATAGTACTGTTTTGAATCATAAAAAATTTGCAACAAAAAGTATACAGAATTGTGCTATATCTCATACTGAATTATTATGCAAATGCCAAGTAAAAAAGAGTTAAGATTAGCAAGCGAAGTATTGTCTTATTTGATTATATCTGCTAGCTAGCTATACGTGGCTAATATATCAATCACTTTTAATCTCAAACATACAAATCTGATTTTGATTATAATTCAGATGTTTACGCAACAGTCGATGATATGCGTAATGGAATTAACTCCTCAAATGGTAATAAAAGCAACAAAACCAACTAAATACTAGTAGTGTTTCAAGTGAATGCTCTATGAATAACTTTCAGAATATTCTGACTTATTTACTTCTTTCTTTCCTATCCAATGCAGCGTTTTTTCAACTTTGAAAGTCTCTAAAACAAACGTAATGAATATTTTTAAATTTCAAAAAATGCCTTTTTTGCAAATTAGTTTTTTAATTTCAGATACGTATGTCTACGAGATGCCAAGCGTCAAAGAGAAAAGGAAGCAATTCTGAGCAGAATCTGGAAAAAAGTTTCAAATAATATAATTTGGTCTGTCACTGTTTACTACTTATAGTCATTCCATCTTACTTACTGCTCATAAGTTATTTTATATTATGTTGATTACTTTATAATAAATGTTATTGTTGTGAACTTTAAATGCTTCAATTCTGTTGTGATTCGAAAATTTGAAAACGGAATTTAATTGTTTGAAAATAAATGATTTAGCTCCCAACGTGCATATTTGATTTATTTTCATAAGCTTTGAAACTGCCTTGTTCTGATTATTTTAAGCTTAAATATTTCGGTTCAGTTATGTGATAAACATTTTTTCTTATTTTGGTTATTAAGTTTTCTAATTTCAGTTTTATTATAAAATATGAAGAATTTATAAAATTAATACGAACAAAAGTAAAGATAAGTGTGCACTTTTTGTCGTTTACAAGATTTATTCTTCTTAAAATTTGGCTTAGTTTGCAAAGATTATTCGTCTTTTTTATTTGGGAAATATGCACAAAGCTTACTATCAGTAATTGAATATTCGTTTCGTTCGCCTTAGTATGTTTTTGTTTTGAAAGCCAAACTTGTGCTTGCTATCAAATGCCACAAATATTTTCACTATTAATGATAAAAGCAATTTTAAAAAAGCGATAATGATATGCAGCAAATCTGATTGTTCGTATGATAATGAAGGGGTTGTATAATAAATGATAAAATTCGATGAACTGATCACTGAATCAATTATTTGATTAAGTAAAGTATTTCATATACTTTTTATTTTCGTAAAGTAAAGTGACAATAAATATGTGTAAGGTATGTTCTTGAATTTTTTTCCAAATTATATATATCTTCACTTATCCTCTAGAAAACTTTTTAGGACATAACGAATTATCCAACTTATACTTTAAGGATCAAAATTCCTCACATACTAATATTTCTATTCCAACTACTTATAATTTGATATCGAAGATTAAAGTATCATTATCCCTAGTGATTACTTTCATTTTCTTTGTGAAAACTTTAATCACCACTAAATTCATAATCTAAACTTGAAGGGTAGGCAGTGTAAACTGATTAGTCTTGCAATGTTAAATTTTGAAGTGAAGTAAGACTTACTTTGTTGAATTAGATTCAGAATTTTTGAAACAGAAATATTTCTATTTTTTACACTTTTGCAAGATTTTTCGGGCATACAACTTTTGCTTTTTAGAGCATTACAAAGCAGTAAGTTTGTATTTGATGAATGAACAAAAATATCACATTTAGCAACATCAGGCTTCTATATAATAAGTTTTATCTTGCACCAATTTTTTCTGAAGGCTATGACAATTCATTGTATAAACTTTCAGTCTAATCAGTTATATTGATATTAATTTCTAATACACAACTTTTATCAGAAACTTGACTTAACCTCATAAAAATAGGACAGATTTTGTTGTCATTAAGTCACCGAATCCTGTCATTTTGTATGTGTGAGGTCAGCAGAAGATCTCTTCCTTGACTTATGCCAAATATTGGCTATTGCTTATTAAGAATAACTGCAAATACTTTAACAATCAATGGCTTTATCGCGAAAATTGCAATTAGACTTATACAGGATCAAAAAAATAATGATAAGATTTGAATTTGAATAGTGCCATTGTTAGCCAATACTAATTACTCGATCTGGTATAGTTTTTCTTTCAATTATTGTGATTGTTACAGTAATTAAAAAAATAAACCGACAAGAATCCTTAATTTCAGTCGAAACGTTTCTGATTTTCATGACAGCATTCGAAATTTTCACCATAAATATGTCATTCCACACAATAAAGCATTCGTTGAAATTTCACTTTCCTGACGCTTATTTACACATTTTCTGATTTCTAGAACAACAAGGCGCTATTTTTTCTGCTCTAGCTGACTGCTTCAGATCGAATAAGAGGCAACGAAGAAAATGGTTGACCTTCAACCTTATTTTTGTTATTTTCATTATCGCTGCATGATTTTCTAAGACTGTTCATTATTTGTTCTACAGTTGAAAGCGGAAATGAGTAAATTTCTGAATTACTTAATTTGAATTTTGATTGTAAAAAGTGTAAAAGGTATGGTGCCAATTGCGATCACTCATGAATAAGCGATATGCAATTAGCTTCCATCCTCTATTTAAAAAAGTTTTAATTAATTGTCACAATTTACGAAAGAAAGCTGCGAAAACTGTCAAGTTTATACTACTGATTACAAGTTTATCAACAAAACAAAACCTTTAATTGCACTATTTTATCACCCTCAAAGCTTTATTTTTTGCTGCATACTTTTTTAATGTTTACAATATAAATGCTACTTTTTAAAGTCAAAATAAACAATGATGAGTAATCAGTGATAAGCTGAAAATATTCATAAACAGCAATTACTCATAACTCGAAATATTTTCGTGTAGAAACTAGCAATTTTCTATCATTAATACATTGAGCTGGCTAATGAGGTTAATCAGCATTGAATAGACGTGAAATGATAAGTGAATAATCAAACTAAGCTAATAAATACAAGTTCATATGTTTATATTGATAAGTTAATCTCTAATCAAGTTTGTAACTTCCATAGACAAAATATGCTCATGTATTTAACAATTTACAATAACTCTCCCTGAAATGGTATCGGCGAATATTTGAATTGTTGAATGTGAATTACTGAACTGAACTAATTTCGATCTAATAAAGTTTGCAGTGCATTACTATTCAATTTTGATACTTTAAAAAGCAAATAAATTTTATATTTGCAATTTTTAAAACAAAAAATCAGTTTTTGTAGAGGTGAACTCTCAGTAGTAAAGGTCAAGTCTTTTGTCTAATTTTTTCAGAATCATATTTATTCTTTCAATATTACAGTACAGTTTTTGTTTTATACATTTTTGACTTTCACTCAATAATATCACAAAATTTTTTGTTTGTCAGAATTTATTGCTGTAAAAGAATTATTTATAATGCCAAATGCCAAATTACTTCACACTAGCCTCCGCAGAATAATTATTTTTTATATCACATTTCTCTGTTTATTTCTTGACATTTTTTTTTGCAAAAATTATTTGACTCTTGACCTTTCAATTTTCTTACTTTTTATCATGCAGAACTATGGCTGCAATTTTTACTTGCAATGAAAAGAAAATAAGTAATTTTGAATTCCTTATTTTTTCTACTTCTCCCAATTGATATCAGCGAAACACTTTTGTAGTATGAACTTCCAAGTTTGATTATTCTAAATAGTCAAGGTTTTTCAGCAGAATCAAAGTACTTCTGCATATCAGCTGCACTTCTGATAGCTCTAAAGCGTCTTTTATTTCAACTTGTAGGACAAAATTACAATACTAAATTATATTTCACGCAAAATAAATCTTTACTTTACTCACAAATCCATTATGGCTCCTCAAATTTCATATTTTATGCTTAATTTTCAAAAAAAAAAAGCAATTAACTCACTCTCTAACATTATCTACAACTTTTATTCCACAATTTAGGTTGATTTTTTAAAGCTTTTTAGTCAGTAATTAGTAAATTATTTCTCTTTTAACTAACTATTAATTCTTTTAATCATTCATTCATTCATTCATGTCTTATATGAGTTCCATTATTCAATTATTCAGTGAGTGCGTCTACGTTAGCAGCTAGACTTTGCTTTCTTTACTGGCAACATTTTTACACCAAAGTTTTGTCGATAAAAATCTCAACATTTCTTCAATAATACTCAGAACTGAACTGAAAATCAATTCTATCTTTCAAATAATATCACATCAGCAACAATTTTAGATGGCGGACGTTTCATACAATTTTACTTCACAACGCACTCACTGCCATTCTCTGTTCGTATCAAATAGCTGCATCATACATGGATTCTTTGTGATTTTATTTGCAAACATTTAATTTCTATTTGCATCACGTATTTTCCACTTTTTGCCTTATTTTCAGCAAAGCAAAATATTCTACATTTTATTATTCCGAACATACAGTATCTATTCCTCGACTGCTTGCCATATCTTCCATATGACAATCTATCCTTTTGTCAAATACTAATTAAGCAAATAATACCTAATTGTCTATGCTTAAAAAAGCAATGAAAAATAGTGCAGCAAATGCTGAGTTATTTGAGAGAGGAGGGAGAAGAGAATATTTCGCGCTTTGGTCACTATATTCACAAATGACGAGTAGAAGGTCAACATGATGACCTATATTCTGTTTTAATCAATATATGAATATTTTGACACTGTTTCTATCTACTTTGCTAGTACAGATAATATCCACTTATGTTCAGTTTATTTATGAGGAAAACGTCGAATTATTTCTATTTTATTTTTGAAGACAGTGTCCGCTCATATGCATTTTATCAGTTTGAAATGGCTATCGTTGTCCACTAACATCAATCTGATTATAAAAAATATCATTAAGTAATTTCGTTTTCCTAATACGTCTGTTTATGTTTAATTCATTTTGTCATTTGTGCTAAATTTACTCTCTTTATGTTTTATCTTTTATTATATATTGTAATATCTCACGTGATATTTAGGTTAGGTTAATTTTGATTTCAAAAAAAATTCCTTAAATGAGCATATGACTCACTCGTAAATGCATTTGAAACCTGTTAAGTGACATTGCAAACTTGCACGAGCACGCAAACACATAAATTTGATTTACCTTTTGAAAAAATTACATTTCTAATTTTTGGACAGAATAAAGTTTTCAAAATTTTCCAAAAACAAAAATTTAAATTACTTTTTATGACGATTAATAATTTAGCATAGAGTCAAGGAAATAACTTAGCAGAATTTGCATAATTGTGAGTTGGGAATAAAGCTAACGTTACTTTTAATTTTAGATCTAATCTTGCTATTAACTTTTTACTTTCACTCAATCAAATTTCTAAGGCATACCTAACCCAACATGTTTACTAAGCCACAAGCTAAGTGTTTAATTAGTGACTCACTTATCTGCTAGTGGAAATTTTCACTTTCCCAAGTGTTGTACTTGTATACGAGAAGTAAGTAGAGCTGTTCTACGATAAACGAACTTTTAAGAGGTCACAGCATGCAATGAATGACTTTTGCTTTTTGGCGTACAAATTGAAGTGTCTATTTTCATTTACTCATTTATAAATATAAATGCATTTAACAATGCATAATACATTACAATGTAATGTAATATGCATTGCAGGTTGTAATTTTTTTATTCGCTGCATTGCTGCTTGAACTATGAACTATGCTGCAGAAGTAATTAGTGATAATTAATCGTTCTAAGTTTTAAAAGTTATTCGTGTTCGATAGACACAACGAACATCTTCAGATGAAGAGAAGTGAAGTGAATAAAATCTGTTCATTTAATGAAAGTTAGCGAGTGGAAATCTTAGATGTCATTTATTAAATCAGTACTTCATTAAACCTTTGACATTTGTCCTAACAAACTTCAGGATATATGCATTACTTTATTTAATAATATAGAAGTCTAAACATACCAATAAAAAGTTAAAGTGGTAATTATGGTTGAGAAGAGCAGAAATCAATAAAACTTCGGGATATCAAACGGCATATTGATTACTCTTTCCTAGCTGTATTAGTGCATGTAAAATAATAAATATTTAAAATATTCCATTTATTACGTTTGACTTATCGGATATATTATATGTTTACGTCAAGGTAAGTGGGAAGTAGGCAGCATTTTTTTTCGCGCAGAACATTTCGTCTGAATAATTATTATTGCTCATTGAGACAAAATTGATCTGAAGTGTGAGAGACTATACATTCTAGGCAATTGGTGATTTGAGTTCATATACTTGTGCTTGCTAATCCAGTCGACCTTTAGCCTTTTTATTATTACTATTTCTTTTCGCTACTGCCTCCTCAGTTTTTGTAAAATTGTGTTAATTTCATTACATAGACAGCAAAAATGCTGTAAGACATCTTGCCAAATGGTCATAAATGATAATGAATCGATGCATCGATTGATTATCATTTGTGATCATTTGCCACAGTCGTCTTAAGTTTCGATTATCACTGTTGGCTTGTTGTATGCGTGAAAAAAATAGTCCTTAGTTTTCATCTTTCCTACCTTTCTCACGTACGTTGAATGTTGACGTAAATAATCAAATACTAATTTATCAAATATTTTTCTTCATATCTTCAAAAAAAAATCAGATTATTATTAATTCACAATGTATGTTTATGGGTTGCGATTTAGAGTGTGCGGTAGAATTTGCTTTGCGAGCATAATGTTTGGGCATTTTTCTATTCATTTACATGAATTTTATTCTTTGCAACAAATTTATGCACATTTTATCTTTCAGTGCTAAAACGAGTAATTTTATTGTCATTTGCGGGTGAATTGTATTTCTAAGTATAATATATTTGCTCTCAGATAACTAACTACCAATTTCCATTATTCTTACTTGGATTATTAATGAGTTTTAATTAGTCTGACCGTAATGAAAGGGTGAAGTGAAGAGTGACCTGTCCAGTAATGTGAAATTGTTAAACGTTTGCTCTTCAATTTTACTTTTTTGAACTCTGAAATGTATATTTGTACTTTTTTAATTTTCATATTTAAACTTATTTTTGAATTTTTTCTGTTAATAATTAGCAGTTTAGTCGTCAATTTGATAGCAGTTGTTTAATAATGAACGAGATCAATTTTAAATAATTTTTAATTATATTGTTAATATTAATATTAAAGATTTTAGCTGTTGCAATGACCAAGAAGATCAGTTTATTGCTACACACAGTAATTATTTTGTACCTAAATTATGAATGCTTTGTGTACAGCGTTTCGATGGATACCAAAAATGTTTGCCCAGTAGAGCAAGAGTATGTATATTTTCATTCTTGAATGTATGTTTCAAATTTTAAAATTGAATATGCATAAAACATAATTTTAGTTGCTATTATTCAAATTTTCACACATTTATTACACTATTTACGATGAAATTCAATAGAAGAATATCATTTGTTATTGAAAATATTCGTAAACTGAAATGATAGTAGTTGCATCAAATTTAATGGTTATTTTTAACTATTTAACTCTATGCAAAAGTAACTTACTTTCAACATTCTTGTTATTTTTTAAAATTTTTTATCAGTGTAGTAGAAAAATAGAAAATAGAAATTATATTCACTTCTGAAGGTTTTATATTTTTGTCAGATATGCATAGATAATCTTTTTTTTAATAAAAATATGTCACAATTTATTGGGATATATTTTCAGTCAAAAAATAATTAAGTTGTCTTTTGGTTTATTTTCATCACTAGGAACTTTTTTGAGGTCAGAGCAATATAAAAGGCAATGCAAATGAAAAAAGAGTCCTGATATTCCAGATTACTTCCAGATGATATTATGTAAATTTAGTGCTGCTTTGTTTATGCTTTATGATAATCATTAAAGTATGCAGAAAAGCTTACTCAATACATTGATAAATATTTTAACGTGAATTTTGGATTACCTAAAATTCAAGTTGTTTATCACACACTGGATTATTTTTATCAACTGTACATACATTTACATAAATATGTTTTTAAATTAATATTCATGAAGTTTGTGTAGAGAGAAATTTTTTGCTGTAAACTTCAAAGAAGTTTTATTATTTTTATGATTTTAATAGATTGAAATAAAATATGAATTAAAAAAAATATTTAAATTAATGCTATCGTTTTATTATAATGTGTGATTTTGTAGGAGTGAAGAGCTGGAGCTGCAAAGACATGAGCAAACTGTTATATTGCACACCACTAAGCCTTGCTGGGATGTCTCGCAAGGATTTCGTTGCAAAGTAAAAACGTAAGTCAAAAATTTCGGAAAATTGAATAATAATTTTTGTGACTTAAACAAACTTTAATATTAACTCATTCTAGTAATTAAATTAAAAAACTTGTTGATAATTAGTCTCCTAATTTTTGACTATTCAAATAACTATGTTCAGTGTTTAGAAATGGGACCAAACTTTCTTACAAAGCAATACCAAAGAAAAAAACAATAGTCATTTACAAATGCTGTCCTGGTTACTTCGAAACACCGCTGGAAACTTGTGAAAGTAATGTATTTTTAATTGCTAGCTTTTTAAGTAGGTTATTAATAGGTTTTTATTGCTACTAATGGACGTATAATTTCTATGCATAGAAGTTTTAAGTAGCATTGGATAAAGAGAAAGAGATAATGTTATTACGAAGATTATGAATTTAAAGTAATGTAAGTAATTGATGGAAAGTAGTTCTTAGCCGTTCAAAAATTAAATTATATTAAAAATACTAAAATGTATGTAAATCTTGCTTTCAATCACTCTTTTGATAATAACCTTTTACAAAATTTATTCAAAAAGGATTAATTTGAGTTTTTTACTTTTTTAATTTAATCATTATTTTTGACTATATTTTTTTATAATTCATTTTTGCAGTTTGTGCAGACGGTTATTACGGGAATAATTGTTCGCTACATTGCAATTGTACCGAAACTGAAATCTGTAATAAAGTGGTTGGATGTTGTGGTTCCTCAAACAAACAGTGTAGTGATCTTCGTAAGTTACATTTCATACTGTATTACATATTCAGAGTCAGATTTTAACGTGATGAATGATTAGAGTTAAATTTTTACACATATGTAATTTAGAGATTATTTATATTTATAGAAGGAAAATTATTAATTTATTTTGCAATTTATTAAATGTTATGTTAAATAAGTTTTGAATATTCTCTTGATAAGTACAATAAATATTGTGAAGTGATATTTTTAATTGTTTTACAGAAAGTGCTGCAATGAAAGAGTTTGTGGAAAATAGAAACTGGATGTTTCCTATTTTATTGTCATCATTGTTAGCTGTTGTTTTGCTGTCGTTTGGAACATTCTTCTACCGAAGAAAGTATAAAAAAGAGAAAGATCCTGAACTTCCGACTCTTACGTAAGTTATAAATTTCGTTACGTAGTGTCGTAGGTTATAAATTTCGTTACGCAGCTTCATCAATTGCAGTGTATGCTAAAATATTGACTTTATGCGCAATATTCTTTGATTTATCACCTAAATTATAACCTTTAATGAAAGTATAAATGAATAGTTTTCAGTTATTATCCACACGTAAAAGAACTTTTTACTCCAAATGAAGTTGAAACACGAGAATTCAACAATCCAATGTATCCTGGAGCAAATGAAAGATTATCAATAAAGGAAATACCAGATGAACCAGTACTTGATGCCAAACGTGTCGAACTAAGAAATTCTACATCTACTCTTAGTACATCATATTTATTGAATATTGATACTGATTAATATGTCTTTTTTCATTCAAAGGCAGCTTTTTTTTAACGAACTTGTAGCCTTTTTCGAGTATTCTTTTGCAGTAGATAGTAAATAAGTTTATAATATTGTGTGATAATTAATTTTTCCATTCGCAGTTATTTTCAGATGAATATGCAACCTTGGATTACGCAGCACTGTCTAGTTCCGATTCTTTATTACAAAACCAAAGTTTGTTGAATTTTTGCTATTATTTACTTTCCTAACAATAAATATATTGACAGGATTTATTATTGTTATTCACATATTAGCTTAGTTTTCCATTTTATTTGATAAATATCGCTTGTATAGTTAATTTGCGAATTTTTATTACTTTTTAATTTTTTTTATGAACCAAATATTAAGATTTCTTAAGTTAGTAGAAAGTGAAAAAAGATATGACAGCATCGTGTAATTCATAGATTATGCTATCAGTAGCAAATACGAGATGAGAGCAGTAACTCAAATACGTTATTTTGAACTCATTACATTATATTTCACTTTATGGTAATAAAATAAACTTTTCAGATTCATACGAGATACCAGTACATTCCTCACCAATACCAGATACTCGATTTAATAAAAATGAGGTAAATGAAAAAATGAATTGTGAATAATCTTGACACCGTCGTCTCATACGTTTGCGTAAACATATTCGAAACCATTGAGCTTTCGCACTTGACATTTTGCACGAACTACGAGTTTTTCATTTGAAATTTTATTAAAATTTTTTTTCAAACTATTCAAAGTTATCGTTTTGCTATATAGTATCTTTTATTCACTATGAGGTTATCATTTTTTTATATCAATTTTATCAAGTACAATCAAATCTACTTAACTTGGACCTTTTTTTTCTGCTGAATTGAACACTGTTATAACTGATAACTCTTTTCGCTTGCCATATTTAGTATGTAGTATAGCTAGATAGTGATTCTGTAAAATTTTGATTATACTTTCAGAGCTATCAATTTGCCTTATTTATAAATATAACATTTTGTCGTACAACACTGAAACAGTTTTGGTATTAGTATGTTGTATTTATTTTAGACGCTTTCCGATATGAATTCTGTTTTAAAATAGATAAGAATGTATGTGATTATGGAAGAGTCGAATTGTAAGCAATTCCCGTTGATTTGATCAAAAATATAGCAAAAGTTTTATAGAGAGAAATCCAATTGTCTGATATTTTTTGATAAGAAGCAAAATTAGATTAGGATTTATGTTAATGAATTTCAATCTGTTTGCTCGTTTATTTAACACACTCTTATGACTTACCCTTGCACTAACTGAAATTATTAGCTTACATATTTATGAGAATATTAACTTATAAGCAGTGCATTTGTTCGTCTTACAAAGTTTTTTCTTATAAAATTATCAAGCAGATTCTTTTGTTTGTTTTTTATTTTTGTACGCACTTTTTTTACAATTCGACTTTCTATTTGAATTCAGAATTTTCTCTAATATCTTTTTCAACTCTGAAACTTCACATTTTACTACTATTCTTTATAATGCGTGTATTATTTTGATGTGTTAGAACTTGACTTATTTGAGATATTGTCAGAACTGAGTATTTTGTTGTAATTCGAAAGTCTTCGTCCAATTCATACGATAGCCTGAAATTGCTGTCGAAGAAATCTGGGAACCGTTTTTTTCATTGATACCTTTGTTCATATGTATGTGTCTTGCCTAGTTTGTTTACTGTTTTTGGCATTAATTATTTGAGTAGTTATAGAATCTGATATGAGCGTATAAAGAGTATGCATCTTGCATATATGTATAAATGTAAATATATTTGTTTCACTTCAAAATAATTACATCTGGTACAGTCGTGTATTATTTGCTTTGACATCCACTAGGTTGAATTATTATATCGTGCTGTCATTTATTTGTGCTTGTTAAGTATATACATTTATATTTTTTAATTATTTGAAATTATTTATCAAGTTGTGAGAAAAATTGTTTCTGCTGGCTTGCTTGTAAAAACTATTTGCTGCTAAAAAGTGCTTGATATCGTATGATTATTATTCATTTATAGTATACTTTATGTGAGTGCTGTATTAAAATTTGACTAAATATTGATGGCATTTAAGTTTGCGCTCTTTTTGATATATTGTAAAGTTAATTTATGATTGTGTTTAATTTTTAACAGATAAAGCTTACATCAAAATGATGAGATTTTGCAGTGTTATATCCGTTTAAAAACTTTTAACAGAGCTAAGGATGCTTAATCCAAACTGCCTTATGGCTTACTCATGTGAATAAGCCCTTTTGTTCAGATGGGAGGAAGAAATTTTGTTATTTTTCGTTAGACATGAACTGAAATATTGGGCATTATCACTTTTAAGATGGACAAGCATGTGTGAAACTTTTTTAAGACAAATAGTGGAAAGTGTTGCTTGATTGTCATGAGAACGGGCATTTTGCATTCCTCAATATATTTATTAGACAGAAGGAAAGATCCTCACGTGAGGTCATGATCATCAGGAGGATAAATTAATCTTGGATGTATTTTGAAAAATTATCACAAATTATCAGATTGATAAAATGGTGCTAGGATCGCATATTTTGAAGTTATATGAAAGGGTTTTTGTGAGTAAAAGCAATGGTTGCAAAGTGCTTATGATATGATTACTTATTGTTTGTATTACTCAATAAAAATTCATAAGTATATAGTAAAAGTAACGTTTGCGAACAATTTCAGGAGCATCAATTTATTGTTGGAAAGTACTGCTACATTCAAATGCATCCTGTTTATTCTCCGCAATTTTTAAAACCAGATCTCCGAGCTAAAGTCATTTTTGTTGGCAAAAGTGGTCAGTAAAATAAT